GCAACTTTCTCATCTAGCGAAGTGCTTTGCATGAGGTGCTAGAATACTCTGTGCATGGTGGCCGATAAAGTTGGAGCGGTGGATTTGATGAGCTATCTCAGGGAACCTTCTCCCTAGTAAAGCAAGCAAACTAATGTCCATTCAGATTTTATTGCCTTCAAAGACAAGGGAGACTGGAATGGCCAGTTCTGGCTTATTAGCCGTCGTCAGCCAGTCATATCCAGACCCAAGTGACGACCTACCAGAGGCTGGAACTCGGATGTCAATATCTTCCTACCTAAACCATCAAAACAACGAACTCGTGGCTCAATGGTTAGAGCGCTAGACTGATCGAAAAGGTCGCCAGTTCGAGCCTCGGGGGTTGGATACGACTGGCTGACTACAGCTAATAAGCTAGGAATGATCATTCCAGTCTCCCTTGTCATTGTCGGCAATTCTATCTGCCTCGACTACTAGCCGCTACGGCTGTTGTCAGGGCCCAAGAAATGAGACCTAAGGCAGAGCGGGACAAGTAAGTTCCGTTCATTCCTGTACGAATAAATGCTCTGTTTACCGAGGCAGATAGCGGCCCAATGACACTGATGATCCTTCACTTTGAAAAGAATTTACGAGGGTTGTAATACTGATTAACACAGGATGATTCTGGGCTACTTTAGTCACGGTGGCGTGGTTTGATTGCTAGTCCTTCAAAACATCTTACGTAAATCACATTCAATAAAAGCTTTGATTCCAAGCAAATACATTTCAAGTATTATACTAAGAATTTAAAGAGATTTAAAAATTTGTTTCTGGTGTTTGAACGCAGAGTATTTCGCTGAAAGTTTTATTAGTCTGAAAGATTTTCGGGATTTCGAAACGCCTATGCAAATGTCCCGAACGATGCAGGGTTTGGTGTGACCTGATTTTAACTTCCTTTTTTTCAATCACACACGGTCATCGTGTTCAGTGTGTTACACAATACAACTTTTTAATCGTCTAAGTAATGTGAATAATTCGGGTGCTTTCGAAAATGTCTGTTGACGGCAGAAAAATTAAAGTTGAATTGGCATTGAGAAGCATTCAAGGCTGATGGTCATAATTCCTTTCCAGGGTGTCCTGAGACGGTAACAATTCGGATAGAGTCAAATCTTTGCAAGCAACTGGATCACCCTATTAGACTCGCATTGCCATAGTGATTATCTAGTGCTCGGTTATATCTCTTATGCCGCAGTTAGTTAGCTAATTTCCTCATAACAGTTGGATTCTCCGTCCCGTAATCACATTTTTACGGCTAGCAACCGCCATTTGTTTCTGAACGGAAGGTCACAAGATTTTGATGGTGCTTGTCAATTCTGCTTCATCTGTAATCTTAGCTTTCTTCGACATCCTTCAGAGAAATGAATGTTCTATGTTTGTTTGCTGATATCTGAAGGCTTGTTAATTCTGTTTTCAAAATATGCACATGGCGCTGTGTATGTCACAATTCTTCGATGAGTACCAAAGAACTCGTCCTAGGAACGTAGAGACATATTAATTCACTTTAGAGAAAGTGCCTGACATGGCGTTTAGACGAAATGAAAACGTAGGTTACAGTTATAAATAAGCAAAATGAAACTACTTTTGCCAATTATTGTGTTTGCGTTTGACTTACTTCCTCTCAAAGCGTAACAATGAGAGCTGTAAAACATACTGTCAAAGATATGCTTGAATGTGCACGTTACTAGAGTAGCTATTTTTTGTTTCACTGTATTCAAATTGAGAGCTTAGGCACCAAAAAGCAATGTTCATACGGTGTTATCACATTTTTTTTTAGCAACTGCGGTACATTTCGGAGAGTCAAGGAGTTGTGCTTCCCCTTGTAGTTATATTTCATTTGCCTGTCGATGAGGCAAACCTTGAGTCTTCGTGTCGACCGTTGGTACTTAAATCTAGCTCTTCCAGAGATTGTTTATTCGTAGGTATTTCAACGACGTAGTAGTTATCACGCATCCTGATTGAAGTATAATGCAGGTAGGGATTGCAGTTCAGGTGTTTATTTGATGCTGTACATGCACCGGGTCCAGTTGAGTTTACGTTAATCATTAGGCGAATCGAGTTATTGTGAGTGAAGTAAGTAAGGAGGCTGTTCATTACGCATGAGAAGAGAGTGCTACGGAAGATTTTGGTGGTGATTTAGTGAACAACCGATACTATAGATACTCGTTCGCGTGAGGAGTGTTAGTAAAGATGCCAGAAAACTGAGGCAGTGTTGTTTTGAGTTTGTTTTGTCTAAGGATTGATTGTTGGCAGGTCTGCCAACATGGTTGCTGCAGTAGAATCAATCCTTAGTCAAACACCAGACCTGCCAGTTTGTATCACCGAAGCTTGAAACTAGCAAGGTTATAGCATCAGCATAGTCATGATCAGTCAGCCGGTGTACAAGTGCAAACCATCACTTCGTGCAGCACGTACCCGAGAATCCAGTATAGACGAACAGAATGGGTGACAGGATACAGCCTTATCGAACACTAGACCGGATATCGAATGATGAAGCGTGTGCTGTGGACCAAAACGCACACGGTGTTAGAACAGTTGTAGGCCTCGGTCATAACAATGATTCTTCCCGATATACCCTCTGGTGCCATGATCTGCCGTGTTGACTCAGAATTTACTGGATCAAGTGCAACAGTTGTTTATAGCATTGGTGAAGTTCAAGAATGCAAATGCACGTGTCTTTTCCGAACATCCACGCCCACTACCTCGGAATCCGGAATGTTTGCTTCTCTTCCTAAAGTCATAGATAGTCGGGAATCTTCTGGGGATGATAACCGTGAAGACCCCAGCAGCCTTGTCGGCGAGGCTTATGTTGCAGATACTTGTTCGCACACCAGCCCACTGGCTTCCACGAACTAGCAAGCTTAAAGTGGTGCCCAATGTTGTGGCTGACCGACTGAAAGCAGAACAAGGCCCAAGGCCATCGTGTATTGGCCGAGTCCAGCCTGATAGATGGATGCCTGTTTGTGGCCCCCTGCAACCCAGTTGGTGCTTCAATGGTACGATAGTAGGTGTGCACCTATGCCTCTGCCTGGTACTTTTTGGCTCCCAGTGCGTGTGCTTCTGCCGTCTCGCATCTCCGGTATTCCTGACTCTGTGTTGTCACCGGACTCATATGGGGGAGTAGAACACTGAGTGAGTTAGACGCACTCAAGTCTACTTTCGTTATAATACAGCACGTGTCACCGTGCCTGCGCCCTCCCTCTGTGGAGCACACAATGGATCTCGTCGAAATCGACGATCGAACTTTTGCCTAGTAGCACTACCTACTGGGTGTTATGCTCTACTGCTTTTCCAAAGGGGAAATTCTTCGCTTCGTTGATTCGGTTTCCACCAGAGCCAGTACCGTTGCCGCTCATGGATGGACGTGTGACCCCTTATGGTCGTTGCTTTATGAAATACGTATTTATATTATTTCGTTAGGAATGTTAAGGTTTCAGGTAAGACTGTAAATGACGGTATGCGACAAGGGAACGCGTACTCCAAGATAACCCTTCTGCCTCCCCCCCTCCCCCAACCAGTTTACGAGTAGGTTTAGCATTGGACTTGGGGTTATAGTTCAAGCTTAGATTAAGATTAAGGTCTACGGATTAAGGTTTTCAGATTAGCTTTTTAATTTTAATCCTAGGTCATTAAGACATGCATAAAAGATCTTATGCTGACTACTAAGTCACAAATTCCAGCATTGCCGTTTGTCACGAAGCTGATCATGGTAAGCTCATGAGGATGCAAAACGCCTCCTATGCTGACTGCCACCTTGCAATTACTACTTTTGTGAAAGTTTTTCTCGTTATCCGGCCTTGATTTTCACTTTTTCTGCATGTCTCCTTTTTATGGGTTCTGACTATGTTTTGTGCCCAATAGGTATTTTTTTAGTTTCTTGGTGTTTTGAATGCACTTGAAGTATATTCCGCTTCGCTGACTACCTGCCTGCTATTAGTCTACCTGACCAACTCCAATTTTTCCTGATTTTTTTAGTTTACACACTCTAGTTTCGTTGTCTCTTAGTGTTTTGCCCACCGCTTCGATAATAAAACTGAACTTTATCCCTGTTCATTAATCCCACATCACCACCATTCCCGTATTACCAGGGATCCTTGCTTATGCTCCTCTGATTGGGGCGACACATCCATCGTCGCCCCACTGCCTTCTATGTTGCAAACTCATGAATTTCGTTCACTCTTTATAGATGGCCGCGCCTGTTCCCTCCTGCCCTACTCTCGATGAAGCAACGCGACGTGATCTCATTTACCGTCTGTTCCGTCTTGGAGCCCTCAACTTTGAAGGTGTCCAATTAAAGACTGGTGAAATCTCACCCGTCTACTTTGACATTCGTCTGACCATGTCAGATCCCGCTCTCCTGGTAAATTCCATTAGTTATTGGACTAAATACCACTGAAATGGTTAGCAGGAAGCATTACTGTGACTTTTGAGAATGATGTTCACCTGACTTTTAACGAGTGAGACCTAAACGTTATTGCCGACCTTGATGGTTGCGAGGCACATGGTGGGACAAAGGAAGTAGCGGCGCATATAAAAGTCATCGTGGTATTACGGCAGGTA